TTTTTTGCAGGTCGCGTGAACCGTACCATATTCGATCTTCAAAAGTACATAATGTGAGTAAGATAAAGACAATTTACTTTTAGAAAAAAGGTTGTTAATGTCTTATCTTATTATGATTTTGCTTTTTGACTTGGGGGAGTATTTAACGTGTTTGCATGATGTTGTCCATTAAGCAGTGAGTCATATAAAGCTTGTAGAAAAAGAAAGTGCTGTCTCCTGTTGCAGTTTGTTTTGTCTCATAGGATTGTAGCTTTCAAAGTATATGTATGTCTGCAAATCTGGCTTAAACAGTAAATTATGTGAGAACTTCTATCTTAAGGTTTTGTTTTATATCATTTTTTTTTCATCCAAGTATAATATTTAATTTATTGATTAACATATATTTGTTTCATATGTACCTTGTTCACAGTGTAAAACTTTTTAATGTATATTTTTTGTTTTACAAACACGTCAAAAATGTGAAACGAACATATTTTAAAACATATATATGTTAATCACTACATCAAATTTGAACCATAGATGGAAAAATATCATGTAAAATAGGCACATGATTTTTGTAGATGTCATGATTTGTATCCTCTTCAAAAGGAAGTCCTGATAATTATATATGAGTGGATTTAGGATATAACTCAAAATAAATGTATTAGAAGTTAGAGTAGACATGAACAAGTTAAATACTGGTATTGGTTTGATATAATTCAATTTTCTTTTGCTATTTGAATTATTGGTGCCAATTTTTGTAAGATAGGATCATGTGATGCCAAAACAAATAAATAAATGCATAAAACACCAAAAACTGTCACCTAAGAATACCAGCTATTTAAGAAAGGATCAGAAATTGTCTCATATGTACAATTTTGTATCTATTTATTATATACTTATATAAGATTGGTTTTACATCAGACCAATCTGTTTTCGTGAGACCATAATTTTATATTTGAAATTTCACAGTAAAATGTTGTGAAGGTAAAAAAAACTCCGAATCTTCACAGCAAAAACACTATGAAGGTTACCTTCACAGGTTTTTTACTTTAAAGTTTCAAGTGTAAAAAGTTGGTCTAACATGATTCCAAGTCACTTGAGATGTTTATAAAAATGATGCAGTGTTTATTTATATGATTTTGATATTTATAAAAGATTATTATGTTTTATATTAGGAAACAGTTGAAATATTCATTTGAATCAGATATTGATTAGATTAGATGGACGATTGATATTGTTTTGCATAGTTAGTTTATATAAATGATTGAGTTTGTAAATGCAATACATATATGTATATGCATCCTCACATCATTCACTCTTTGGGTGGGGTATCTTTATAACAAAATTGGGTATAAAGTGAGAAACATAATTTGGGTATCTT